GAGAGAGAGAGAGAGAGAGAGAGAAGTGAAGAGTAAGGTGAGGAACTGTGTGGTACTCAACAGTGTTTCAAAGTTTTCACAGCATGTTGCTGATTTCAGCGTAAATGTGACACTGTGCTGGAAGTCATCCATCATCAGTTTGAAAGGTAACCATCTGGCCACAGCAATTGTCCATTCAATGACCATCATTTTGCTTTTTGAGTCGCTCCTCCTTTCGGTGTTTTGGCGTGAAATGATGAAAGTCAACTTTTGTGATTGAGAAAGGATGAAATCTTCTTCGGTCATAATCCCGTTTCCTGGAAGAAGTGCAGCTTGCCACTTTTTATTCATGGAGTGGATGGCTTCAGGTGGTTCTGGGTCGTCGGTATTTTATGTTTATGCCTTGATATTTTCCGCACTCATTCGTCCCTCCACATCCTCTTTTGGCAGAGTAATGCTCCAGGTAGGTTTTTAGATGACAGGTGTGTGGAGGGGGCCTTGTGCGCGGCATAGAGACATACGACGTTTATTCATTTTGAGCACCATGCGGACTCATCCCTCGTTGTGTTATTGGTGTAGCCTATAAGATAGTGGTGTAGCATTCAAGTCTGTGGTGTACGCAGGCTGCGTGGGACTCCCTTCTGTTCCCCTGTGAGAAAGCGTACTTGTGTGTAGCAGAGGTGAAATTATCAGCTTTCATTTGCAAGGAAATCGCAAACGGCTTGACGAGATGTGCTGATGTTGTTCAATTGTTTCTGCTAGTTTCAGTGATTGGTGATTTGTGGCGATATGCCCCTGCGGGTGGCACTAATCCATATTTGAGCGTGGTCCAAAAGAGCATTCAGGAAGGAGGAGAGTTGTGCTCTGTCTCAGTTGTTGTCCATTTCGTTGGCAACGACTCGTTTCATGTCCTGTGCCTGACAAGAGCATCGCGTTGGATTATATATTGATCCAGGTCTGTGGAGGCCGACACATAGTTCTCATCACAATAGATAGGACCTGAAGTCGTGGCTCTTCGGTGAAAGAAAGAAACAGCAAAGCAGTCCACGAATGGATCTGGGTGACCACAGTGACGACACTCACAGTTAACGGGCAGTCACTGTCAAGGCACACCGTAGTTATGGGGTGAATGTTGTGATTTAATTGCCGTGACCCAGTTCTGCAGTCTGAGTATGTAATCCATGTAATTTGGGCCCAGTGAACTCCCTGGGGCCCAGTGACTGGTGAGGCCAAGTGAGGCCCAGTGAGGCCCTATTTCTCGAGTTTGCAACGGTGGCAGACCCATTCCTATATCAAATGTGAAATAAATAACTGTGGTCGCGGCCGGCTGTGTAGTGTTGATGATTAATGACAGGTGTGTCGATTGCTGATGTTGCAAGTGTAATAAGTACTAATAACTACTGTAGGAGGGCAAGATTAATAACTGCTGAACAAAGGCAGCGCTCTACTATTGCGAGTTGCAGCTTGGGAAAGGAAGGCTCATTCAAATCAGTTACGGCGTTTCATTTGTCTGTTCTTCATGGCTTCTTATGTTGCCGTCTTCTGTGCATCTTTTTGTGCATACTGGTGTGTTTGTGTGTGTGTGTGTGCAAGAGGTACGTGTGAGCTAGTGTGCCTCGTGTATTGTGTGTGTGTGTGTGTGTGTGTGTGTGTTTGTGCCCGTGAGTGTGTGCGCAAGAGGTATGTGTGAGCTAGTGTGCCTCGTGTATTGTGTGTGTGTGTGTGTGTGCTTTCATTGGGGATTACCTTGTGTGTGTGTGCTAGTGTGCCTCATGTATTGTGTGTGTGTGTGTGTGTATGTGTGTGTGTGTGTGTGTGTGTGTGTGTGTGTGTGTGTGTGTGTGTGTGTGTGTGTGTGCGCGCACTGGGGGGAGAGGTGGGACCCGATGCCCTTGTGTGTGAGTGCCTTAATTGTGGATTATCTCAAGGCAAACTATTTATGAATGTGACACCACCTGTTTCTTTTTTTTTTTGGTCTTTTGTCCTGACTGTCCATTCAATCTACATCTGACGATATATATACATATATGAAATATGAGTGTATAGCTCTGTTTGATGATATGTATACAGCCTCCTGATGACTCGGTGAAACTTTGTCGAAACAGTTTGTCACAGCCCCTCGTCTGTTGTCCTCTTCTCCCTCTGTGCCTATGGTTTACCGGGCAGCTCAGCTCCAAACAGAGCTGCCCGGTCAACCGTAGGCAGAGAGGGAGAAGAGGACATCAAACGAGGGGCTGTGACAAACTGTTTCGTATATGTGTATACATATATATGACTATATATATATATATGCTCATTTTGCGGCCATGGGCGTATACTGAATGCATGGTCTTTTGTGGTGACCGTTCTTCCTTCATTTTGACCTGCAATCGACATTTCATTTGTCGGGGGTGTATGGTGGGCATGCTCAATGTCAGCCGCCATGGCAATTGTTGCACTGAGAATGCTCAGCTAGGTCTTTCATGTGCTCACCCACCTCGTCCTTACAATGTATGTCCTCTTTGTCGTCAAGGACAGACTCAATTCTCTTACTTTCCCTTCATCGTTCTTTGTTTGTCGGCTCTCCATCTCTCCTCCCTGTGTTTATCCCCTCCCCCTTCACTCGGCCTCTTTCTCACAGCGTACAAGTGGAGTGTTATGGTACACGGGGATGGGGGCAGCTCGCGCTCAATTTCATCAACGTGGCGAGCCTTGTACATGAGAGGCACGGTGAAGGGGGAGTTAAAAGAAGAATGAGAAAAATAAATGGTTTCAGTGTGCCCTTCATGTTTGTCTTGTTTTTAATTTTTTGTTTTTGCCATTTGTTTCGCAAAGTGCGCTCTTCTAGTTCATAGTTATGTGACAATATATATATATATATATATGCTCTTAGTCAATAGCAATCTGTCGAAGGTTATATTTCTACGTAGGTTCGAATCCTGCCTCTCCCACTTTGTGGCCTTCATACATTCATGAATTACATGTAATGTACTTGTGGGGGCGAAAGTCTAGGATGGATCTATTCTATTATTATCTGATGGTAATTCTCTATGTCTACTCTTCGTTGCTAATTTCATTATGTATGATATTAATCCATATAGAATTGGACACTAAAGAAAAGGCT